GTGTAATGTCCTCAAACAGCAAATAAATATCCAAATGTTTGCTTACCAGTTTGCACTTGACAACATGAAAGGTGGAAGTCAAAAGCAGAATGTCCGGAATAAAACTGCAATCTCTATTTTATACTGTTTGAAAGCCTGTAGCTGTAAACAAGGAATACAATTTGTTTCTGAAATCATGTGCTGTACTTTAAATACTGCTCCCTTCAAAGTAATCTAGTTCAGTTTCTACAGCTTGCATTTGTACGAATAAACTCAACCAGAGGGACTGAATGCTGAGAAGTGAAATATACTGTATATCATTCTAACTGTGTTTCAAGTGCTTGTGTTGGGATGGAAATCTGCACTAAACACTTTATCTCCACTTCCCTCAAGTTAGCTCATCTTCTGACTCCTAAGAGGGGTCAAAAAAATAATCATAAACAATTCAACTTATATAAACCATAATAGTTTTTGTAGTGCAGATAGGAACAATGAGGGGACTTAGTAGGACATAAGTGACATACTTTAGGACAAGGATGCACCAATATGTTTATATCTAAGCCTTTTTCTTACCATGAAGAACCAAACAAAACAATAATGTCCCTCTACTGTTAAGCTATAGCAAATGTGTGACACACAAGGTTTGCTGATGGAAAGTAATGCTCGATAGGTTTTGTTTTATTGTCTCTTTTTGGATTTCTTAACTATTTCTTATCTTAGTTGTGCTATCTTGTCTTTTCTTTCTTTTCATCTTCATTGTTTCTTCCCCCTTTACAGCCCTTTGTAACCCCTGGTCTTTTGCAAGTCCTGAATGCTATAAATAAAGTTGCTGGATTCAAATTACATGTGTTTCACTGCCAACACATTTTACAGTTGTATTCTAAATGAGCGAATAGGTGTATGAAGAAATGAATACAAATAAAAGTAACCTCCTGCTCTGACACTGGCACCTCACATGGAGGACTGAGTAAAATAGTCATAGTTACAAACTGATCTTGAGTCGGGACATAAGCGTATTAAAGCTGCTTTGAGAACAGCTTCACTGGACAGAAATGAGGCGTTTCTCAGCTCCTTGCCAGCAGCATGATGCTAACACAACATGGCAGCTCGGGGCGGCTCTATGCGACTTTCTCAGCCCCGCCAAGTAATTGGTGACCCAGCAGCACCCCACCTGACAAGGGGCGGCTCGAGGAACCGGCCCCAGAAAAGCAAACAGGGTCAATCCGGCATGGGATTGTCGTATGCTCGCTAAAAAAGCATGTGACAAGTAAAAAGCAGTCATTCATTCAGAGCGAGGCACAGGTTTGACACAGTGTTTGGTTTGGTTTAGACTTCAGTCCCATCACTTTGTGGGAGGGAGCAGGGTGGCATTAATGTCACATTTCAACATTCCAGCTAATTTCTGGAGCAAAGTTATTCTGAGCTAACTGACAAACCTGGCTTCATGCAGCTCAAATAAGCAAGGTTACTCATAAAAACTGAGAGATCTGCCTGTGAGATTCTCACTACATTAACTGTCAGATTACTTAAGACGTGCACTTCATGGGCAGTCTTCATGCCAGATGTATGCTCGCAGCATTTTACACTTCATCACATATTTATTTGATTCCTAAGTGCATTTTTACACTAGGCAAATGGCTTATGAATCACCAGTAAACCCATTTTGTTCCTCTCGTGTAATGTAATTAATTGTAATCTGGAAGCATTGAGTTAATGTGCACATACTGTAGGAAAACAAAGAAACTGAAATCAGATGTCCAGCAAAAAACAACAACAGTAACCTACAAAGTGAATGAATATTTGCTCATATACTATAATATTGCTGCAAAGAAAACCGTTCAACAGTTGCCCTTGATTTCCAATAAACACTTTCAACAAGTGCATTAAAGACACTTTTCTTGAAATACTGTGCAATAATCACCTTATGTGAAAACCACCATTGTCTCAACCACCAGATAACATATGTCAATACATTCTGAAGTTGCTGCTCATCATTTTTAGCCATGGATGTGTACTTAGCTAATTATTTGTCTTTTATTCTAGCATAACTAATGAGCACTTTTCTTCTAATGTGTTAGCTTATTCTGTATCATTGTAGCCTATGCCTTTTGCTGTAATAATGTCAATTGTGCTGTGGGACTAATACAGGATTCTGATTCTGAACCACCCTGGTAAATCATCTCTGTACAGACACTAATGGAAAAAGAAAATGCTAAAGAATTGACCTGGAAACTGAACAAAAAACCCACTATTCCTGCTTACAATAGGATGGCTACATACCATATCATTTGGAAGCCTGTTGCTCCATGTCAAATGTATTAACCTACGGCTATATGAACTGCCCAAACTTATTTTCGACTGCTGTAAAACCACAAGCACAGTTGAGCTTGAAAGATCATATCTTAACTTCGGTTAAAACAAATTATATATAGTTAAAAACAAGGCCCAGTGTGTCCTTTTATCTGTGAATGGAGTCAGATCTCCCCATCCTCAACCACCTGTAAACACAATACACATTAATGAAGTTCTGTAATTTGATCACATGATGACAAACTAAACCATATGTGCACACAGCAACCAAGATGTGGCTGAAAGGACTCTGTTGTACCTTTTGAATATCTCATTACCATACAATACCATACTGACACTACCAATGTACAGTGTACATGTAGGGGTGGGTATCGTTAAGGTTTTAACGGTACTACTACTTTTATCGATACCGCTTATCGGTCCGGTCTTTTAACGGTACTCTTATCGGTTCTTTTGGAGAGAAAAAAAAGGTAAACTAACTAAACAAATTGTGAACAAAACTAACATTGCTTTTTATTTAAATTAAATACATAATATTTCACATCAAAAGAAACAACAAAATCGTATTAAATAATCTGATGACAGAATAGCAGAAACTTTAACAAAAATAAATAACTCAGTTACCTCTAATCATTAACCCATGTTTGTATAATGTAGTTAACTCCGTGTGTTGCTGCTAGCATACATAACACCTAACGTGGAAACGTTACTCGTGGATGGAGCTACAGAGCTGCTAGAAAGACAGTCGAACCCGGTGCATTCCTCCGTCTGAATGTGGTGCACTTTTGCTAAATGTTTAGACAAATTGCTCGTGTTACCGCCCTTACATGCTAAACTCTTATTGCACTTTAGGCAACGAGCATCGAGACGGGTAAAGTTTAACCACACCTCGGAGCGCGTTCTCTCCGCCATCTCCTCCGTGTGTGTAAACTGCCCCGCCCCCTCGCACACAGACGGGAGAGAGATCGAAAATACTAAAAATAATCATAGAAGCATTTTGCAGCCTTTTTGCATGTTAGAAACGGAGTTGGCGACACTAAAACTGCAATATAATGTTTGTGTAGCAATAATACATATGAGATATATTTTGTACATGTCTCCAGTACCGCTAACGTCGGAGCTTAACGGTACCACGGTCTTTAATAATTCAGCCCCGGGGCCCGTTTAATACCGGGGCTCCGTACCCATCCCTAGTCACATGCCTGTACAGTACGTCACGGATAAAGACACAGCTGATGCCAACAGACAGAACACAGGAGCACAATGTATTTCCAGCTCTACTGTACATCCATTCTCTGTTTGGCTGAGCGGGTTTGATGCCAAATCATGTGTTTGTGTTTTGTAAATCCCCTGAGAAGCCTGATGTTTTTTTCACTGACTTGTCATGGGTCAACTAGTTCACTGAGCAGACTTCTCTCTAGGATTCTATCGTGGTATTCCTCGACCTTTACGCGGGGGTAATTTGATTTTCCCACGCTTCTTTTAGTGAACTCACAAAAAAGTGGCGGTTTTGTTTATAAGATTTGGGACTTCACCGATCCCTAGGGCTGTGATGCTCTTGCACGCTTTATTGCAAATGGTAGCATACTGTTTTTCATTGTAGGCGTGTTTGTCCACTTGGGTTTTATTCAGGTGAACTTGTGTTGTTTTATTTAGCTGAGTGTAACACAGTTTGGCTCAGCTCTTTAACCTTTTATTTATTCCTTGTTTTCTCAAGCTGATTCTCATTTCTGATTGTTTTTTTTTCATGCTTATGCCTCAACTTGGTACGTAACTCAATACCTCCCTTGAAATTAAACTCAAAAATGTAACTAATGTATTTGGCAATCATAAATAATATCCCAGTGTTTATTATTTGTATATATGTCATGATTTTAACAATATACAAATATCATAGAAACGTTTACACGACTGTGGTGTATGAGCTTTCAACAGCAGGAAGTATTTAAAGCAGATTAGCTCCACCTCTAAACTGGTATTGGAAATGTACAAAAACAGAAATGAGCTTTCCCGCTAATTATAATGACAGAAGTTGTATTCATTATCTGGGATTAATCAGGTCATAGAGAAGGGTGTATTTGATTTAAGGAGTTTAAATGTGTGTAGATTTAATCAGTGGGGAGGCACCTGGTAAAGCTGAATATTATACTTGTTTTTATTATTCAGTTTTCTTTCCTTGATTTTTATGGACCAGGATACCTCCATAAATATATTCTTAATAACACATTCAGACAATGGATAATCACTTTTTGCCAGAACAAATGGCAAATAGTGATTAAAGCATATTAAGACTTATAGACTGCTTAATTTTAAGATTTTCAAATACTTCTATAAAGACTTTTAGGAAATGTAACATTATTTTAGAAATGTAAATTATTTTATAATCATTATAATTTACTTAATGGTTAGCAACTTTTTTGTTCATCTGTATTTTAAAAGATGCTGCACTGCAACATCTGAACAAAAAGAAATGCAATATAATTTAGGAAAGCCTTATTATACAAAAGATAACTTAAGATACATGATCACAGAACTATTTCTGCACATTTTGCAAAAGTTAAGTGTGTGGGAGAAATACTTGAGCCAATAGTTTGCAGTAACTTGGGTCAGAAATTGAAGTAGCATGCCCTCTAGTGGATCCCTAGTTTCATTACAGGTATGGTGCAGCTGTATTGACTTTATAAACAAACACTGAATGGACACAAAAGTTCTTCATTTTGTCTGGAAAGATTTTATTACAATTATATTTCATGGTGGTGATTAACAGCATATGTAAAGTGTGAATGCTAACATGAAGACCAGCCACCTAGCTTTGACACTTATCTGCAGTGTGACATCAATCAGAGGCAGCACATCCATTACAGGATAGCTGTGTTTGTGTGTATACAGTGGAAGGAGGTACATGAACTGTCTAATGGTGTTTGAGCAGCCATGTTGGTTCTGGGCCCTCCGGCAGGATGAAGTAGCTCCACCACCAGGGCTTCTTTGCACTCTCCGGGCGGTTTTGGGTCACATCGGCCATCAGGGTGTAGCGCTCGTACTGGTTGTAAGGGTCGAAGCGGTCGTAGCTGCCCATGGGAGGGATGGAGTCCTCCTCCTTTTGATTGTCAGGCTCTAGCTCAGCTTTCTTCAACAGGAAGTCCACCCGGCCTGCTGTGTGCATGTGACCGGGCAGGTGGACTTTCTTTATAGCTTTGGCGTAGCCGGGGGCCGAGGCCGTGACGATGTGGACCCCGGGGGTGAGGAGGCGCCAGTAGTCTCCGTTCTCAGCTGCGCAGGGAGAAGCAGGCTTAGTGTTTGGATTTATAATTAACATTACAAATAGGTAGGGCTACCACACCAATGTTACACTGCACTCATCACAGGGAAGCCTTTACATTGTTGGGAAAGATGGAAGTGTAAATGTCAACTCAAAACAGATTTACTTTAGAGTTGGTAGTGCAAGAATTAATAATACTCTTAATATAATTATAACACTATATTCAGGTTTTAAATGAAAGTAAAATGACAGATATTGGTTGAAGTGTGGCATCCATCTTTGTTTGGTCTTCAGGCTCTCCCAGCAGGATATATCAGCTTGCAGAAGAATCAGAGGCTTTGTTGTTTGTTTATGGCAGTGTGATATACAATGTGATATACAATGTGATATACAATGCCCCTTAACAGAAAAACAGTCATGTTGGCCATAACAAACAAGATAAACAAGGAAATAAATCTAATGTCATAGATTTGTCTGATTCATCTATGGAATAAGGAGGCACATTGTTAGCAGCAGAGATGTATTACCTGTGGTGACGTCATGGCGTATTCCTCTGACTGATATTTGTGCACCTTTGACTGCATTTCCATCCTCGTCTTTTACGATGCCTTTGATACCTCGGTGGGCCTGAGGAACAACACAGGAAAAATAATTGCAAATGCAGTTGGAAGTTAACCTCAATAATGATGAACATCTCCATGCATCAAAAGTTAAGGATGCCAGCAGTTTTTCTTTAATTGAAACCGCACTCTCAGAGCAAAAGTCTGTTTGTGGGAGCTTATATCTTTACTTAAGTAGTAACTTAAAGCCTCCACTTACGCTGTAGTAAAGAAGAGATGTGTTCAAAAGTTTTGGGAGGGGGAAATCCCTTTACATCAGTGCATCCTTAAATCATATATCTACTTACTGCTTCCATAAATGTGAGTAAAGCCTCAAAGTTTTCATGCCAGCCGTTAAACAACTCGTCTTCAGCGGGGAACTTTTCACAGCCCAGCTCCACAGTCACCTCGAAGCAGTTGGTGTGAAGATAGTTGAAGTCCTGCATGCCTGACCAAAGACAAAAACAAAATTGCTTTACCCAGAAATCCCTGAGAAGCCGTGCTGATCTTTCCCCTACACTTCTGTTTACTATCATGTGTCCAACAGCGACCTCTGGTGGCTCCATCTGACATTTCAGTTGTATTTCAAATTAAGAAATGGACATCGACACTGTTAGGGTTGAATAATGTTAACTTTTTCAACTTACTGCCTGCAATGCTGGACCACTGCGCTCCGTTAACGGTTCCTTTCTCACTGACACCATGAGACGATCCACAGCGGGCACTTGAAGTGGACATCGACTCATGTGCATTTGCATATGTTCTTGCAAGAAGCTTGAATACCTACGGAATAAAAGGGTTATTTTTATCTTGATGTGATTGTGTTTATATAAATATCTTTAATTGACTTATGTTACATGGAGTTACTGTTGCAAAATCCAATTTCCACTTGGCATAAATAAAGCATTTCTGATTCTGATTAATATATATTGATGTATGTCTAAAAGTCATAATCACTTTCATAGTATTTTTTAGCAGCTTTTATTCATTTTGAGACTATCAGGGTAAAGATATGTAATTCTTATTCAATGCACTTTTAATCGGTGATGTGTTAAGTGTAACCAGCTGACCTTGGCGTCCGGCGTCGGGGACAACATGTTGCGCTGCAGCGGGTGTTTGGACAGGTCGTAGGGGTAGGACACCACCAGGTCTCCACCGTGGAAATTAGCGGAGAGCACGAAGGGGATGGAGCGGATCCACTTCATGACGGCGTAGGTCTCTGGGGCAACCTGGATTGCAGCATTAAGACTTATTTGGACCGAGAAATGAAATAAATCAGGACTTTAAAATGACATTCACTGCCATGAGATGTATGGAGAAGGGTCCATACTGTACCTTACCAAACCAGTAAGAGTCTGGGATGGGGATGTGGTCGGTGCGGTAACGCCTCTGTCTGCGGCGGCTGTAGGCGATGGAGGTCAGGTCGGGGAAGTTTCTGTTCAGGTCGATGTTCTGAGCGTTGTTCCGGCCAACGTTGGAAAAGTCATATCTGGGACCCTGTGGAATGCATACGTGTTACAGGAAATAAGACGTAGGGTATTATTCATTAATGTGTGGAATGTTTGAATGAAACTGTATTTTTATTTAGTTTTGGATAGTTTGGATGTTTTTGCTATATCATTCTTTATTTGTAGTATCCCACTTTATGGCAAATATATACGTTGCCTTAGCTTGCTTAGGCTTTAACTTCATATGTTAATATTACTGTATAACTGTAAGGAAATGTGTTCATCACATGATCAAAGACTCAAGCTGGTTTATTTATTTTCTAAAAAACAGTCAGAAACCCAAATCTTAAATCTAAAGATTACATTTCAAACGGATTATTAAATTCGCACTCCTGCTAAAAGGTATTCAAATATCTTACAAACTCAGGTATGTTTGTCCCATGCGGTTTAACTAACATTTAAAAAGGATGTAAGAATGCTGGTTTGCTTTCCAAATGTATCACAAAACAAACTGCCTGAATTGCTCAGTGATACATCCCTGCAGCCGTGGAGAACTGACCTCCTCGTCGTCCTCGCTGTAGTTATTGTCCTGCAGCCCAGACACAGCCAGATCGTGCCCGTCGGGGTTCATGCAGGGCAGGATGTGGATGCGGGTGGTGTTGATGATGGTCTGGATGCGCTCGTTGCCCAGCAGATACTCGGAGCACATGTGCTGAGCCAGGAGGATCAGCAGCTCGCGGCCCAGGACCTCGTTCCCGTGCATGTTGCCCACGTACTTCATCTCTGGCTCCACTACAGACACATCAACAGTAACTGGACTGTTTATAAACGAAAACTAATGCAGACTTTGCCGAGCTGTACTCACGCAGTTCATGTTCTCCGGGGTTTCTGGAGAACTCGATGACGAGCAGCTCCGTGCCCTCGGTGCTGCTGCCGATGCTGTACGTCCTCGCTATGTCCTCGCACTTCTCCTCCGTTTTCTTCAAGATACTGATCATCTGAGCGTTGGTGTGATGGTTGAACTTTATCATGTCGTCACGATACTCGGGAGGAGTCTCCATGCCGTCGACTTCCTCTTCATTCTGCTCTGCTGTAGAGAAAAACATTTGTCTTTTACTTTGTTTGCCATTGTTTTTACAGCTTGAAAACATCCCTTGACTTAGTAGATGTTATAATATTCATGAGATCCTATTTAAATGACTTTGTTACAGCTAAAAGTAATACTACTGGAACCTGTTACCCCTAACATTGCAGCATGGTTTCATCAGTTTTCATCAATGCGCTTTTAGATCAAAACCGTGGCCGCATTTTAGATCCATCAAACAAAAAGGCTGTCTACATTCCTGTAAGGCTGCCAGGTTATAAATACAGTTTGGAGAGTCTGGTATGTACAGCAGTACAGCACACATGCAAAAGGGAGGGTGGAAAGTTGATCTGACACCAAATGCCTGATAGGCCCAATGTGCTTATTTCAGCTGACACATTAAAAGTGAGAACCAGCTGATGCTGCCCTTATTTCTGGGTTCACACTTATTCTGACAGCAGTAGCAGCTCCAAAACCACACGGAGCACATTAAAGCTGCGTGCTGTCCGATTCAAATGATGCCAAAACTGTCTCTTTTGGTTTAGATGCCACATTTGTTCAGTGAAAAGCTGTTATTAGTTGTATTCAATGATAGGTTGAGTCTTTAAAAGGGGCTTGCTTGTATTAGAACGCAGCCCCACCCGCCCCCATCACTCTGTGTGACTCCCCAGAAACTGCTGTGGAGTCTTTCCGCAGAACATCTGCTCCCTCTTGATGTTCTTCCTGAGGCAGCTGAAGAAATTCAACCTGCCAAAGACAATGATGGTGAACTTCTACACCTCCATCATCGAGTCCATCCTCACCTCCTCCATCACCATCTGGTACGCTGCAGCCACAGCCAAGGATAAGGGCAGGCTGCAGCGGGTCATCCGCTCTGCAGAGAAGGTGATCGGCTGTAATCTGCCATCCCTCCACGACCTGCACGCCTCCAGGACCCTGAGGGGCAGGGAAGATAGTGGCCGACCCCTCCCACCCTGGACACAAACGGTTCGCCCCCCTCCCCTCTGGCAGGAGGCTGCGCTCCATCAGGACCAAAACCTCTCGCCACCTGAACAGTTTCTTCCCCTCCGCTACCGGCCTCTTAAACAAAGCCCGGCCCCCCCACAGCCACAACGTAGACTCTATATGCATTACAGTAATGCACACAATGTTCAAATACTGCTTACTGCGCATATTCTTATTTCATATTCTATAATTCCTGCATTCTATTTCGCTGTAAATAACTACTTTATTTTATTGCTATCTAAGTATATATTTTATTACAGTGTCCTTAAAGATTTTTTGTTTTATATTTTATGTATTCACCACGACATCAAGTCAAATTCCTCGTATGTGTGTCTGATTCTGATTAGCAGACACCATCACATTCATTTTGAGATCATATGTTTGCACTAGTATATGACACAGCAGCCATACCATAGGTTTTATTTATTTGTCTTACATTTTAATTTGTTTATTTATAATAAAGCTACTTGGTTGTGTTTTTCAGTTTTTAAGGTTCTTATTGGATATATTTTTTAACTTGGCTGTTTTGCAAATGAGATATTGTATGTATTTCCAAGTCAAAATGAAGGTTGAAATTAAATTAATCTCCTATTTTATGTCTTTTTATTTCCCTGGGATGCAATTCAAGTAGAATGCAATATTGCAAGCAGTTTCTACTAACATGTCTTTTGCTACACGTGTACACCAAGCTACGAATGCTATACAGGAATGCTTGAAGTCACATGAATTCATGACAGGACATCAGTTTGAAGTTAATGTGAATATGGGAATAATTACACGGGTCAACCTACTGCCAGACATCTGACATGAATTCTGCATGGCTGAAAATGTTATGCCCGACAATAAAAAGTTAAACACTTTCATACAGTAGAACAGGTTGAAACCAAGTCGTTCATTTTAAAAGCTTTATCCAAGTACATACTTTAAATTATACAAATTCAAAAAGAATATGACCCAATTTTCAAATAGTTCTCAATGCTCTCACATGATTTCTGCTGTTAGAGGAGCAGAGTGTCTTTTTATTTTTACAAACTTGTTTTTGACTTCTAGGATTTACAACAGTCTCCAGGAAATACTGTCAGGCGATGTTTGCCTTTCTGTCGAGCATTAAGGCAGCGTTTATGGGGATACACTGCTAATAAACACTTGGCAATAGCCACAGGAGTCGGTGTTAGTGAGGGTTTATGTGAGGAAACAAGGCGTTCCAGCTGGACTTTATTTTGAGGTGAGCCACATGAGCATGTGTGTGAGCCAGATGCCTGCTCTATTAAAGCTCAAAGGACTGTACTGTACTTGTGTTTCTCTTGCAGATGAAAACAAAAAAGGTAAAAACCGCAATATATTAACAGGGATAAAATGAGTCATAGACAAAAATAAAGTCAGGCCACTGAGGACAGAATACAGGGTTGTGTTTTGTTGCCAGACGAAGTAGAGGAAGTCTCCAAAAATGGAACTAAACTTTTTTACTCTAAATCATATTGTGCTCCTCACCAAACTAAATGCCTTTTTAGACCCTCGCAGTTCACATATCGTTTTGATGTTTTTACAACTGGTGTTTAATGGCGTTGTGTTTTTTCTGCATGGATCTCTCCTGCAACTCTAAAAAGACTATCAAATTGTTTCAAACAAAGTAGAATTGGAAATTAAAATGAAAAGCTCTAACGGTGATTTTGGCATGGTTTCTTATAACATACATATTATTCTTAGGCTTGAGAGAAGGTTTACCGTTTTTTCAAGTCAAAAGGCCTCAAGTAAAGTTGCAAGTCATTTTAGATTTTTAGTCTTAGTCATTGTACCTTCTTCTTTCAGTCTTTATTTCGAACAGATTAAAAAATAACAAATGTGAAAAACAGAATACCGTATTGTTATAATACAGTATTTATCCACATTCATGGTAATATTTGTATATTCAACAAAAAAAGTCTTCATATTAATAATAATAATAAATCAAAAATAATTTAACCTTGAGTTCAGGTCATGTGACTCGAGTCCACACCTAATGCTATGACATTACTCCTCACCTCTGAGGCCCTCCAGCGGGTCGTAACATCCCTCTTCATCACTGACGAAGAAGCGATCGCAGTCCAGGAAGTAGGGCCACGCCATCTCTATCCCGTCAAAAACGTGGCTGCATCTTTTACGCACCGCCTCACAGGTGGTGCGGCAGGGCTTCAGCACCTTCTCCGTCTCGCAGCGAGGGGCCATCACGGAGCAGCCCAGCATGCGGACGTCAGGGTTACACTCCCCCCCGAGCAGCGCCTCCACCACGCTCAGGAGGAGGTACTCTGCACTGCCCTCGGCGTCCTCACGGGTCTTGTGGTTGAGGATGTTTGGGAACATGTTCTGAGTGTAAGGCATGTCATCGCAGTACGACAGCATCACATCTGTGCATTTGGCTGAGAGACAACAATTAGACAGGTTAGGAATATCTCAAAAGTAAATCATTACTGAAAGAGACGTTCACATCCCTCACACCTTTAATGATGAGCCCAACTGTGCAGTCTTTAATCATCTAGTTCCAAATGTTTCTATTATCTCTGGAAATTAGAATTTGAATATTTTATACTGCCATTGATCATCTAAAAATACACATGATGGTCTTATGGCTTTCGGGCCAGATTCAATAAGGACTACACCCAGTGTGACTTATATTATGATCTCACCAAAACACTGACTCACAGGGATGTTATTGACAAAACTCCCGACCTGTCTTGAGGCATTGAGAGCTTGATTGTTCTTTGGTGTAAACAATATTATGTTTTAGGCTTGAACGTGAAATAAAGCTTTCCTTTATGGAGTCAAATATTCCTGAAAGACAATCAGTTGACCTAAAATGAATCAAGCTGTAAGACAAACACTTCATAACATTGTTTTCTCTCCAATAACTACTGGGTACTTACGTTTTTCTTCCACTGTTGGCTTGCACTGACCTGCAAGACACATCATCAGCATGTCATTAGATTACTGTGGCAGACACTAGATGGCAGACTGGTCATACCTCAATGTGAATTACAAAATACTCTTACTTCTTGATTTATCTCTGGTTATGCTTTAACAGTTCCCTAACATGCTTTCCTGCCTACAAAAGTATCATAAGATCATTAGAAGTCCCACATATATATGATTATAAATCGTATTCATTATAGGCCTCAAATGCATGCTTTTAAATGGAATATGTATGCCACTATAGGCCAACATCTAACTAATGATGACTTTAGAAATGACTTACAAGCTTTTTTCCATGTTTTTCTGCATGAAATTAAGCTTCAGAACCAACTATAATCTGCACATGCAAATGAGACCAACTCGTGCAAAAGGTTCCAATGTCAACCAAGATAATAAAGTATGCAACACATAAAAAGCTTTTAAACATTACCTCGAAATCCTGGGTCACACCGTGGAGCACACGACACAAGGACCAACAACTGCAGCAGGATCAGCAGCATGATGCTCATTTCCCGACGTGTATATTCCTTTTCGATGTGGCACCTCACACACGCAGCCAGAAGTCTGCAGAAATTCCCCCTGAACTTCCCTCACTTTATTACACGTATTACGGTCGACTATCATGTTACAGAGGAAGTGGCTCTGAGGTGAAGTGGGGACATGAGAGCGTAGGCTTTGCAAATATGGCAAAGATTTACGGAGATGCAGGTTCAATGAAAAAATGGTATTCATTTAAGCACGTTTGAGTTTAGTTTTTGAAGTTTTGGTACAGGAGTTTTTTACTTTGCTTTCAAGATGAATAAAAGTGAAAATATCCCCTGTTCCTCACCTGAACTGTCATCCTGCAGGTCTTCTTTGCCTTGTTTAATATGCACACCTGGTCCTTAATTGGCCGTAAAAAACAAAACAAGGGCTGTCTGTAAAACTGCCTGTGGTCATTACATAAAAATAACATATTGTCAAAAATATAAGCAATGTATTGGGTCAATGTTTACTCTCTTATCATATTTTTTAAAACGTGTATGTCTATGTTATTGTTAAAATCAACCTGTCTAAGTTTACGTAGGCTAATACAAATGCTTTTAGCTAGCTGCTAAGCTAGTTTTCAACTATCTTACAAATTGTCTGTCTTCTGTGAAATAATGGCTTGCTAATTACTTACTTCAACATGTTTGGTAGGCTATGCCTTTCATCCAAGCAGGGTATTAAAGGGTATTAAAAAAGATAATGCGTTAATTTAGGCTTAAAATGTAGGCTACTGTATAAAACATCAATTTTCTCTATAAAATGACCTTAACATTTTGGTTCCATACAAAAATAATGTGTGCTGCATCTGCAAATTGTGGCCTGCCTTGATTTTGCTGACAAATCGGCTACTCTAAAATGTTTGTCAGAGTTGAACCAAGCATTTACATCCTGCACAACAGACAGAAATATAAGTCTGTAACCATTTTCATTTATATAAACATTGTTTCTGTCTGGGACAAAAATGTTTACCCCACAGAGAGAGAGCAGACTTCTTTGGGATCATAAGGGACTTAATCCTGGTGAAACTGGAGCTAAACTGTCTTTATTTTTTTCTTAAAGAGAGGCTACATCCTGGTGCAGAGATTTAGGCTAACCCATATGACCCCATAACATTTACCTTTGGTTTCAGAAAAGTCATTTTTGATATTCAAATCTGAAAAGTATAAAGCTCTAAACTTCATCTCAGAAATATCAACATTAAAGCACTGGTAATCAAGCAATGTTCTTTAAGCCTTAATATACTCCTAATGGGAAATAATGTAATACCATGATAGATAGTTATGAGGCTGAGCCAAACCCTTGATTGTCTCAAAAGAATGCTTAATTTGCCTCAGCAGAGGTGATTGCCACTTGACCATTTATATCCTTCATTGTCAAGTGAGCAGCTCTACCTAATTTAAAGTGCCAGTAGACTATCATACACATACATATTTGTCATACATTGGGTTTCATTACTAATTTTAACTAATTATAGGGTCTTCTCTCCTTCAAGCTGGGCTGATTTGAATTAGCATAATAGGAAGCATGATTATTCATCATGCAGGCAGGCGGGCGCAGGACCCCTGGGTTCAAGACTGGTATCTTGGGAGTGAGCCTAAGAGTGAAATAGAAATATCCTCTGTATCCTAAATCAGGAATAAGAATGAGATCCATAATGTGGTCATTTATTATGCAGATAACATCACAACCTAGCCATATTAAATGTTCACTATATCTTTACAACTTACTTTCTTTTTCAAACTGATTTACAATGTTATTGTTTTGTCAAGACATCCTCAACCACCGATGTAATGTGTCCGATAAGTAATCCGTGATGTACTGCCTTTTCTCAAAATGGAGCACAGAATTATTGTCCTTGATTTGACATTTATAAGGAAAACTCAGAAGATATACACTTTCAAGAATGGGTTAACATTCTTTTAACTCATTTTAGATATTAAGACCATTTTGTTTTAAACTATGACATTGACTAAGCTTACATTTCATTATGAGCACTTTTCCTCACCAATTTCTCTCATAACTTATTTCTGATGATTGGGGTGAATTGGATGATGTTTTATTTGAAAAAGCCCGACCCATGCCTTCATGACGGCATTGATCTGCCCGTCTAAATGCAGAGGTGTTACTGGTTTAGTTAGCAACAAAATAATGCAAATTCCCTCACTCCAGGTTGCAATTAATTACTGTCGGTCTTTTTTTACTGTCGGTCTGTCGCATCAAATTGAGTCTCAGTCTGAATAAATTAGAATCGCTAATTGGCAAATGTTATCTTTGACCCATCTCTTTAATTACACTTGGCAATAATGCTGCTGCAACCGAGACATGTATACCATATATCATCTTTGATATCATAAGTGCCACGAGGCAGATGAAAACGAAACAAGGTGATTCAGAAATAGAGGACTAGCTGGTGGTGACAACCAACCAACAGAGTTTTATTTGAGAATAACAAATTATGTTTCTATTCAAGTATCCATCTGTTTCAAATATTGAATATAGTTCCCCATTATCCTCAATTATGATTCAAATAAAACATTTAGTATCTGTCATTTAGTGTCAGATCATTTTAACTGCACTGCTTGAATTGAATTTGGAAACTTACATATTCAATCAAAGGGCATTATCTTGATTCAAAGACATTACTGTGAAAACATTAATAATTGTAATACTTTTATAATTGACAGCTTGTATTGCACATATTCCACTAATAGCTAATCACACTGCCAAATAACAGCAAGTGGCTTACAGGAGGAACAATACATGTGCAGAATGTACATCCAAATAATTTTAACAAACCAGATTTTCTGGTGAGAGAATAGAACCTCTGAAAAAGTCAAATGTTCAATTCTGGCACAAACACATAACAAGTGTGTTTTAAGCACTTCTAGCATCCCTATGCTACATCACCCTTTTATCTAGACAAAATGTTGTTCCTGTACAGTGCAAAATATATAATAACATCATGTAAATATCCATAGAAACATTTTAAACTGGCAAAACAAAGAACAGTTGTACAAATGCATTTCAGTCCAAAGTGGGTCGCCACTAGTACATTCAGTTTCAAATGCACAAAGGATACATTTAAAAGGATAAGTCGGTGATATTTTATGTTTTTTTCATGATCAGGAAATCTCATGAAAAGACTTAAATAGATAATTAATTGATGTAGCCAGTGATCTCCAACTTCAAATAAACGTACATTATCCTTGCCTCCGGGACTTGTGAGTAGGCCTACTCCGGTTTAATTCACAAGGGAGTTGGATTTAATTAACTAAAACACGTCAACACTAAGATGTTCGCAGACTTAGTGCCGTAGGAACTTGGGTCCTGGCAATTACATTTTTACACGGAGTGTTCTTTGTTTGTCAATTATCTAAAAACCCTTACGCTTTTGATCTGATTGACTTCTTCAATACCATGAACCAAGGCACTGTAGTTAATTTTCTTTCTAACAAATATACACACACAGGTGTGTATTGACCTGTGTCAGAAAATAGTCCCCAAAAAACGTTTTAGTATTATTTGCTTAAAAACGACAGCGCCCAGGTTTCAGGAACAAATGTATAACCATTTTGAAAGTTACAATTTATATCTGTGACCAGTCCTGTTTTGCATTTCATACCTACTCGAATAAAGGCAAAAATACTACAGGAAGAACAGGGTCTGAAAAATACTGAGTAATGGAGTGATACATTGTTATTTTTGCTCTTTTCACGGACCTCGTTAACAACAAGAAAAATATGTAAAATATCACCAATCTTACCATTTAAAATCATGTTGTAAATGTTATTTGCCTTTGGCTCCTGTAACTATAGTAGCTCTGAGAGAATTAGACAAAGTGCATCAATATTCAGTGACTGACATGACACTGCAAAGTAGTCTAACATGGTCAATACAGAACATGGCAATAATGTGCAGCAGTTGAGTAAATTATCCAGAAGCTGTGGCAAAAAAGTATTTCCTTCTTTTCGCTCCAGCTTCTATTGACTATCCGCTCCCGGCTCTGTCCCTGCGTTTGGTGACAGAAGAAAGGTCTCTACATGTGGACTTTGCCAAAATCATTACAAAGCGGTAGGTTCAGTACAAAAGGCCACTTTATACATGTTGCTCAAAGAGAAGAAGGGACCGTGTCGGCTGCTTTGTCCTTCAGTTTGAGATTCATCTGAACCCACGACTCCTCTGAAGAAATTGATTTGTGTGATCTATGTGGTTTTGTGTGTTTCCACCGATGAATCACAGATGTCTTGTTTGTCAATTCTGTCTAAGGACAAAGTTTCCACATCGTACTCGTCGCTCCCTATCCATCTCCTCTTTTGCCCCTTCATCCTCCCTCTCAGTGCTGTCTTGTCATTCTTGTCCACCCACTGCCTTCCTTACGTATGCTCTCTCTTCACCCCAACCCACATTATGTCCCCTCTATCAGCTCGATTTTCCCTCCCTTACAATGTCCTGTTTCTCTTCTCATTCTTCTCCTCCGCCCACCTTCTTCCATGAGGCAACGTATATTTTTGGCCCGTCATGTGTATCTGCCATTTCCGCCGCACATTTGCCATTAGCTGATCCTCTGGAGACAGTAGTCGTTCTCCGTGTCTAAAGAGCTGTTGTGGCCAGACGAGGGGTACAGGTCACGACGGAGCAGCCTGTTGACGACAGTAACCAGGACTTTCTTGTACTGCTGACGTAGGAGGGAGTAGGCAAAGGGGTCCGACGCAGCCTTGCTGTATGTCAGGCACTTACTGATGATTCCCCAGCGGCGGTTGATGTCCACAAAGGGGAGAAGCTCGACCAACCTGAAGGGGAGGCAGCAGAAACATGAATAATCAAAGTCCATTTTAGTCAGAGATGTGTTTTTTTCTTTAGTTTCTCAAATGTTCAAAGTACCTATAAAGCCTTTTACACATTGGGGACTGTTTGAAAGGGTCAACATGGGGTCAACTCAATGCGCTTAAATAGCATTAGAAGCTCTTAAAAACGATTTAATCCATTCTTTGACCTGCACAAAACGGTCATCTACAGTCACTGTCTGGCTCACAATTTATTTGGGAAATGTTATGCATTTAAGTGAATATTGCAAATATAGTGTTGCTACTGTACACTGAAGTTTTAAATGGATTTTTAAACTATTTAAAGTTCTTTAAATAGTTGCATTTTAAGCACCTTGCATTTTATGATTACAGACATTGTACAGAAGATTCAAACTGCCATTAGAAGAACTAATGGAACAGAGAAATAGAAGGAAATATGACGCGATTATGATAGGTTTTTCTTCCTTATCTATACATTTAGTATGGCATAGAGAAACAGTTCTTGAGCTTTGGTCTCTAATGGAAATCCTTTGTTCTTTCATTGTGATGCAAATGTTCCACTTCACCGTGAAATCTAATCACAGCACAGAACAAGTGAGGAGGTGTATTGTACAGCAGAGAACAGCTTAGACCTACTAATATGAAATGCAAAGCACTACGATTCATTTTAAAAATAAGTGTGTAGGGGAGCTTCTTTCTTTTATGAGATGGCATTTTAAATCTATAGAGCATTACAAAAAAGAAACAATATACATGACGAGGTTTATTGTATTTACTATCTTTGTTTGATTTGTTTCATAAAGGCATTGCTGGTGGTATTTTGTCAGTACCAATTCAACACAGTTTTATACATAAATGCTTTGGCTTTTACACATTTGAACCATAGGGTTTACATACCAATCATTTACACACATATCTGCACATTTTAAGGCAACGTCAAGAAATTAAAATGTCATGTCAATTTAAGATTACAACAGAAGGTGAAGAAAATTCCCCTTTTCTCTTCAGTATAATGTTAATTTAAAGGCAGAACAGATACATGAGTAGCGATGATTAGAAGTTTTGTTTCTAACAGCAGGCTACTTCCAGTGGGAAGTGTCAGGGGGTTACTCCAATTTCACTTTATCCCTGTTAATGTGTCCTCCCTCTTCCCACTCATATGTGCATGCGCCACATATGTCAAAGTGATGGATCATCGCACCACATCTCGCTGACAATCTGCTCCTCAAGCTTTTCCTATTTTTCTGAAACACACAACTTGTTCTCTGTACTATATGTATTGCCCTAAACTGTAGTATGTGTGTTTCAGTGGAAGCAGCATGAAGGCACCTCTCAAAGGTGACTTATGAGCCCTTTAATGGTTCAGATAAACTGTTTTGTTGTACTTTAAGAGTGGGATTGGGTCTAATCTGAACAAATAAGGTGACAATTCTGTATATTCTAGATGACGAGAACTCTGGATGTAGTATAATTTGTCTTTTAATAGTTGGACTTAAGTCTATTATGTGATGTTTTTGTTACTGACAATTCAACTTACCTTGTGATAACATAGGGGGCAAAGCAGATGATGAAAGAGCCGATGAAGATGCTGATCTTCTTTGTGGCTCTCTGCTTTCTCCTCTTTTGCTCTGCTAAACATCTTTGTTTCACGCTGAAAGCAGCAAAACACTTTTAAGACTATGAATTAAACATTTAAAAGAGGACAAAAAAACATGCCTGCGTATAAATAAATGACTTACCTTGGGTGAATGTCGACCAGGAGAAACAGAGTCTGCATGGTGATAATGTCAATCCTTTTGCAGTGAAACCTCGCCACTTTCAGCACCTTCAAGTATGTGAAACACAATATGAGCAGGGAGAGCATGAAGCTGGTGGCGTGGAAAACCACTGTGAAGATAGTAAACTTAATCCTGTCTCCCCCTTCCACTGTGGGCTGTAAGGTGCAGGACGCGTACACTGAGCTGTAGTCCACCCAGGAGAAGAGCAGGGCCGTGAGGGAGAAGGTGAAGGAGTGCAGCCAGGAGTAGCACACCATGATCAGCGCGTCCTTGTAGCGCATCTTGGCGGAGTAGCTGAGCGGGAACACCACCGCGATCCACCGGTCTATGCTGAGCGCCGCCATGCTCAACATGGTGTTGGCGGTGAGGAAAGTCTCCAGGAAGCTCATCGTGTGGCAAATGCAATCCCCGAAAGGCTGCTGATCCCGGATGACCCCCACCAGGGTGGCCGGCATGTTGAGCACAGTGATGAGGATGTTGCAGAAGGACAGGTTCATGGTGAAGACCCCGGGCACCTGTCGGCGGATCTCGGTGCTGTGGACGAAGCATAGCAGCACCAACAAGTTGGACAACAGTGAGACCACCGCGACCACGATGATGAACAGAGCGAAGATAACGTCAGCAAAGTCCATGTCTCACTCCGGAAAGTCCCCTCTCGGGTTACCTGTTGTTGGTGATAATAAGGAGTTAAAATCAACCATGATCCCTGCAGGAGCTCCTCCAAAGATTATTTTCAATTAAATCCTCCTGTGTGCGCGCGTCCCTGTACTCTCCAACTTCCACGAGTGCTGTCCAGTGTGCTGAAGCATCTCTCTCTTTCTCTCTCTCTCCTCAAACTTGTCGATTATTTTCAATCAACATCCGGCAGGTGCAGGTGCAGAGCTTAAAGTGAAGCAGAGTGTGGCTCAGATGGAGAATGAGACTGAACAAATTAATAATCGCTTTTACGCATCACGTGAAGAAACTACTCACACCCAGACGTGGGAACAACTTGTCCTGGTCACAAAACACCCAAACTCACACTTTTGTTTTCTACATATTGGAGATATCCAGATGTCTTTGCGCAAACGAATCAATCATCCCGCTTAAGTTATTCACATGCGAGTTTCTTCAGCATCGACCACGGATCCCTCAAAATCAATTTAGTTCTGAGGCAAAGGGCGCAGAGAAATCCACGGATGTTTCTCCTCCTGGATAATTGGAGACGCTTCTGCCGTGACCAAACGGCACCAGGTGCACACGCGCGCCGGAGATGCGCGGTGGCAAATAGATCCTTTTCCTGAAATGAATTATTCATAGCCCCGTGGCTACTGCAGATTCACTGTGTACCATCATAATGTGTGTCTGGTATGCACAAATATACAAAAAGACTGTTACAAGAGAATGCTGCTGGGTAAACTGGGAGCGAGGCTCACAGTTGGTTAATAAGCATGAAATGTAGAGGACATTAAAGACATCAGCAATGATTCTTTAGGGGCAAACATATGTCTTATTTTGTATTTTTCTTTGATTCAAACCCTGCTGATTTGCACACAAATACTTGATTACCCCTGATGAGCAATAATACTGTCTGTATATATACAACTTTTTTTTACAATTGGTACCAGCTGCTCTTTGATTCAATATGGTCACTTTTCTGTAAAACAAATACTACTACTTTTTTTTACCATGGTGTACCTATCTGCTGTCTTGTTTTAGTTTTTTACTTATTGTGTTCATGTGCATATTAGCCATTTTTTAAATATGTGTCCTTACTTTAGCTGCACTGTCTGCTGTTGTAATCATGTAAATTACCCCGTTGCGGGACAAATAAACGATTTCTGATTCTGATTCTGAACATACAAAATCAAAACAAAATATTCATCAATCAACAAAACCAAAAAATCACATTGCAACACACACTCTTATTACTTATTTTGTCTTTGCATGGCAAAGACAAAATAACGCTTTTGTTGGCTTATGGAGAGAGACACATTTCCCATGAACCAGTGTGATGGGAGTAGCTGCATCAGCACTATCTGACACCCAGTCCGATGTTTAAATAGGTCACATTTTCTGGAGAGATTGAACAATATATAGTCGTTTACACAATGTCTTGGAATCAGGCTAATCAGGCATCCTTTATGAGTGTTCAAATAGATAATATCCCTCCTTTACTGTAGATATTTACATTGCCAATCATTTCAATTGTTATCTGTTCACTACCATCCCCCCAAATCTGCCCTTCTTCTTCTTCTTTAGATTTGTCTATGTCCTTATACCTGAATGAGAAACCATGTTGGTTTAGAGGAAAGTCTAAAAGAAATAGGATTGAAATAGGAGTTTAAAGCCACATGTTTTACCTTATCTCATAATACACTAGGCATAACATTCCTGGAGTAACATGCTATAGCCGGTGACAGAAGTGCACTTTAGAAATGTTTGCACTCGTTACTGAGTCATGCCCAATCCTGGAGAAGCCTGCAGACAGTGACTCACTGAGGTCAGACACAGCCTGCAGGCTTTTTGTATATATTTTCTCCATTGCATTCGCTTTATACTCCCACTTGTTATGAGGCTCCTGGGCTTGTGCCTGAATCACCGCCCCCTCCAATTAAGTGCTCTGTTTTTATTTATTTAATGTCATAGGATAAACTTTACTCAAGGCGGTGATAGTTGAGTATTTACAGTGATTAAGTGAGTCACCATTAAATGTACGCTAGGGAAACCCAACCACCTGTGAAGTGACTGCCTCTGAAGAGCATCACAGCACAGCAGCGTATGAAAGTCTTCCATGTGTGAATGTGCCAGTGTGTTTTGGAGTCAGAGAAACAAAGCAGCAGAGGGGGATGTCAGTCGCCTTATACACAAGCGATCAAATGCCTGGGAAAAAGCTACAGCTGGGTTCCTGGGGGGGGGGGGGAAGTGCAAAGCTATTTATAGGTCTGATGGGGTGTCACCTCCAATATATCTCTCAGCGCCGGTGTATTACCTAACCGAGGTATCAGAGCGAGGCACTCTACAGAACCACAAATGAGATTGCTTTTAGAGGATGCTTTTATGTGTGTTGGGTAATCAGCCGCTGCAGTTTTAGGTTTCCTCTCAAATGCCTCAAAGACTGGTAGCAGTTTAACAAATGAATTCAAACACAGCGAGATATCCGGTAAGACAGACAGACTGGCCAACTCCACGTTTTGGACTCTACATCATACGATACACTAAAGCTAGTTTATAGGGTGACTAAAAAGGAGGAAGACACTGATCTCCAGCTCTTTGCTTCGGAAAAAGAAACTCAATTATGAGTCCAAGCACAGATGGGAAGTAAGGAATGGATCCTTAGGAGATAAGATGAGCTGGACATGTGCAATATTGGTGAAATGAATAATAAATGGCCTAGATGTGACCGCACATGGCCAAAGCCATATTACAGACCAACAGTCCACCACACAAGGATTTGGATGTCCATATATTTCAGAAGATGGAACCAGCTAATGTTGACCATTTGTGCTTGATTATAACTTAAATGATTTAACCGAATACACATAACAGCTCCCAGCCTGTTGCTTAACATCCGTGAAAGTGGTGTCCAACTTGCCTATAGTGCTTAATTTATAAGTAAAGAAGACAGAAGCCCATCTTACTTTCAGCTAATTGCTTAGGTTCCTCACGTTGTGTCTGGATTGTAAGAATTGTTTGTTTTAAACTCTTGAGAGATGGCAGTGGTTTTGCATTGACCTGGAATGGTTAGGGTAAGGTCAAAAGTGTTTTCAAAGTTTCACACATAGAGGTTGACCATTTTACCTAAATGTAAGTGGCCATGCACACAGTCTAAAATGTGAGTTGAGTGTCCTATGATCCCCTGACTGCAAACCACTGTCTTGGTCCATGAACATTTCTTTAAATAAATGTGCAAGTTACCAAAGAAATATGCAAACGTTTCCTGGCACCAACTTCTCAAATGTGAGACGTGTGTGTGCACAGATTATTGGCAAAGCAATTGTGTCGAAACCACAAAAGACGCAGTTACAAAACTTTAAAGGTGTGTTGTTTTGATCAAAATGGAGGTTGAATATGCAAGTGGTTAGATGTAGGATATATAAGAAGAGAAGGGTCCATGGTCCCACCACTTTACCCCCCTGTAGTAGAAGTTATGATGTACACCTGCAGACCAATAAACAAGGAACTTTTTTGACAGTAAATAAAGTTACTCGATAATGAAAGTAAATATTAGTTGCAGTCCTAACAGGCTTACATTGTTGGATTCGATGTCATCATGAAAAGAGCAGAGGGCACAAATGGAGCATCAAAAGGAAGGTTTTGCACGACGGAACCGAGCACACTGAGAGAAAGTAGATCTTTGTGGCCGGCTCACAACCTCAGCCTTGTAACAAAGAATGCTCTGAAAGCTCTCACAACTCTCCGTTCCAACCTGTGATCTAAGGAAACAGAGTGTGACCTTCATACAACACAACATCCCTTAGGCAGCAAGACAAGTGACAGAGAAGGTGTGATCTCGGCACAGTAATGACATCCCCCCCGCAGGCCCCTGGAGTGTCACTGGGAGCTTGTACCTGTCTTGTATAGTAGTGGGTAACATGATGCCTCTGGACAGCGTTACGTAACAAACAAGCAGTGCATGGATCCTTTGATCATGCCTTATTCAAATACTAAATATTCATATATGAAATTACATATTTTGCACATTTTTTCTCATTTACTACTATTTGTGTGTTTTTGTTTTACTGCCAACCCTTTTTCCGAACATGTCAATGGATTTTTGATTGATTTCCCATCCTCAAGTTACTTAGATAATCCATCAACGTTCAGTATTCAGTCAGGTGTTTTTAGTTTGAACTATTCCTCCAAGCCATGTTAATATTGGTAGTAAACGATGAGGCTCGAAGCAAAACATTACAAAATAAATGTTATCGTATTGACAAAAAGACTAACACATGGATGGTTTATCAAACTGTTATGGTATAAGAACTAGCCTTTGTCCTAGCTGTTTCCCACAAGTATCTGAATACACCATTATTAAGTAATTTATTCCAGTTCCTGCTTGCAGCTACACTACATTACGCTGACTAACTATACAATAATAGCTTAATGGGATGGATTATTTAAAACAAGTTTCAGTTTTCTGCAGCTTGATCATATTGACATTGGTTGACCACAGGCTGCCTAGAATGTAGGATTTCAGAGTTTGGAAAATACATTAAAATGTGCAAATCCACCAATAAGGTCCAAATTCATCTCAAACTTCATCATCTTGTCTTCTGGCTCAGTTGCCATCAGGTGTGCATATAAATAGCTTAGTTGGTCTGCAGGTTGGCAAACATATGATCTCTTACCTGTTAAACCCCGAGCCTGTTTTTCAGGTTTCAGGCTCGAAAATGACATTCCCAGAACAAATGACCATATCTTCCCTTCTAAAAGGGTTAAATTAATCATCTTTTTTCTCAAAGTAATGATAAACCTGTGAGTTGGATGTAGAAAAGTCAGATTCAATATAGATGTTTTTATTTTAAAGAAAATTCAGAGTGAACATGGTAAAAAACTGTAAATTATAGTGTCCGTCCAAAACATATGTTGTACTTATAGTGAAAACTAACCTTGGATGATGGGTTAGTAGACTAAAAGCTTTAGGAATCCAAAGTATAACATATAATAAGTATCCTGTATCAAGATTGATGCAAAACAAGTGATATTTGACCTTTTTAGAGAGATGTAGCACAAAAAAACCTCTTCTGGGGCCATTTGGGTGGATTTTCCATATCTCTGGTCCCCCTTGCTGGATTTTGACATGTGACATCTCTTTCTGACCGTCAGAGCCAATGGAATCGAGGGGAACTCCCACATAGTCCTTATTTGGTAATGTGTGTGTGAGACTGCCGCATAGCCTAGACCGGAAGCAGCAGCCACTCTGGTAGCTACCATTAGCAGCTAACATTTGCTCTCCGATTTTTACATAAGAATGGAATTATGGATCATAAATGAAATCATTTTTTTATACAGAGACGTTAAAAACCTATGGATTAACCGATTCAGCCGCGTTTATTCTGGTTTTAATGCCATTGAACACGTCTTTTGATCAGATTGACAGCTACGGTGAGACGATCTCCCTCGAAGCTCCGTAAAGGTACGTGTTGTGATGTCTGTATTTGCTTCCCCTGTCGCGAGTCCGGATCACTCAGTGATGATACTATATACCTAAATAATCTGTGGAACCTC